ATATGGGTTTCACTTTCTGAAATGAGTGACAAAAAATATTGACCTCTTTCATGATTCTAATTTTTTTAGATGTACCGGTGCATCTTGGATGACCTGTCGGTTGGTAAATTTTTCGTTTTTGGATGAGCTGTTCCTCTAAGTTCCTTCATAATTCCAATGAAAACTGGGGCAACCTATGAAAATAAACTACAGTTACCGGTCATTCCAATGGTTAACAAGAGACTCTAATGAAATTAGTCAGATAATTTGTCATAATTTTCTCTCATTTGCGTGACATACTAACCAAAAAGTGTAATTAATCTGAAAATGCCTCAGTAAATGACATGAGCACAAACTGCCTAGCTTAAAAGTACTGTATATCCCTATATGTATTATTTTTACATTTCACAGCTGAAACAGAACAGACTATTGTTTCTGCATTTTGTATTTTCTTTCTGAATGCTTGACATGTCTTTGCGAGTCGGAAGTAGACACTTATTAGCTGTATTATGCAGCAAACGTCACTTGTGTTCATTGATCTTGTAGGAGTGACTTTACCTGTAAACCGAAGGGGAGGTTCTAAACAGATATACAAAGAACGAAGCAATTTTCATTGAAGGAAACATAGAACTTCAATAAAGGAAATGCTTTAACAAGGAAACATCTAAAAGAACTACAAACAAGGAGGTGTTTCTAAAAGCATCTCGATGAACCTGCTGCCTGGACGGGAAATCTGAATATCCCCAACAAAGACATCACTGTTTGGTTTTCTGTATAATTAAACATTTATTATATAGTTCATTCAATTTGAACATGAAAGGCAATGTTATTAAAAATGCAGTATTTTATAAACAATGCAATAACAAAAGGCAAAGCATCTCTTCATGCATTAAAAAAGGAGACAATGAAAACATACACGAAAGACTTTACTGGAAAGAAACTGTATCTGACAGCATGAAGTTTCTATAAAATCTCCATTTTCATCTCCATTTCTCTTCCTCAACTGATAATAATGTGATCTCATGTTTCTATTGTCTGAAGTGAAACATGATCATAATATAGTTTATACAAACAAGTATCTTTCATTTTGCCTGCTTTCTAGCACTTAATATATGTAATAGAGATCCAAATGTCTTGATCTGTTAAATACTTAGGATGGCTATATGTCAGTTTATTTTGTTAAAAGTATAGTATATTTAGCCAGAAATATATTAGCCACTTTCTTGAAAGTTTGGGGTTGGTGAGAATTTTTTATTATTTTTTTTTTTTTTTAAGTCTCTTATGTTCACTAAGGATGCATTTATTTGATCAAAAATGTTAGTTGAAATATTATTACAATTTAAAATAACTGTTCTCTATGTGAATATATTGTAAAATGTAATTTATTTATTTGATCAAATCTATTTTCAGCATAATTACTTTAGTCTTTAGTGTCACATGATCCTTCAGAAATCATTCTAAATGCTGATTTGCTACTCAAGAAAAATTAATTTTTATTATCAATGTTGAGAACAGTTGACCTGCTTCATATTTTTTTCCCAAAACTGTGATACATTTGAAAACCTTTGTAACATTATAACATTCTTTACTGTCACTTCTGATCATGTGAATGCATCCTTGCTAAAAAAAAAAAAAAAAAAAAAGTACTAATTTCTTTCTAAAAATCAAAAAAGTTTTCAATGAAATTTTAGCAACTAAGAAAGACACGGGCAGACATTGCTGCAGTTATGGTTTGTTACATTCATGTATTTGGCCAATAATCCTTTTATTATCAGTGGTATGTGCTGCAAAGAGCCCACAGTTTGAATGAATTCACATAACTCCCACTAGATTTGTCTATTTTTAAAATGTTTCCCCTCTGTGATTCACGCAGGCCTTCAGGATGAATACAGTAGCTGCTGCAGGATGTGACGGGTGAAAGGAAAGCAAAGAGGACAGGAGCCGTGACTGCGGGTCTTTCACTCCAGTGTGAGGGTCGTGTACCTGTGGGTGGAGTGAGTGGGCCCAACACAACACCGCATCCTAACAAGCATCCGCTAACTTGGTACAGATGCCCGTTGGTGCATCTCGCTATATTTAGACGTTGGTACTGATAAAACCCTAGCCTATATTTCTAGGCAACTGTATTTCATTGGACTCCTATCAGACTGGCGCATCTCTTTAATTGTGAAATCTGTCATATCGTAAGCTATACTCTCTGAGACAGGAGGGAATGCAGGTGACACGTCACTGAAACTGCGGTCTCAGCAGCAAATGCGTTTCCTCCACATCGTATTTGATCTCTCAGGACAGGGAACAGATGAGATCGACCATCTGCGCCACTGTTACTCCACGAGCATCATCATTAAATCTGTGCGAGCGATCCAATCAATTTGATGTTAGAATAGAATAGAATAGAATAGAATAGAATAGAATTTACCAAGACCTCACATGGGGCAAACCGATATAGATAGACAGACAGACAGACAGACAGATGATGGATGGACGGACGGACGGACGGACGGACGGACGATAGATAGACAGACAGACAGACAAGACAGACGATGGATGGATGGATGGATGGACGGACGGACGATAGATAGATACACAGACAGACAGACAGACGATAGATGATAGATGGATGGATGGATGGACGATAGACAGACGATGGACGGACGGACGGACGATAGATAGATAGACAGACAGACAGACAGATGATGGATGGATGGATGGATGGATGGATGGATGAATGGATGGACGATAGATAGATAGATAGATAGACAGACAGACAGACGATGGATGGATGGATGGACGGACGGACGGACGGACGGACGACACAGACAGACCAGAGAGATAGATAGATAGTTTTATCCTCCTGTTGTATCTGCAGTGTCAGTGTTTGTGTTGCTTGTTAGTGAGTCTTTCAGTGCATACAGTGAGATTTCACAGCTGCTGCTGCTGCTGATGATGCAGTTGTCATGGCGTCTATTCTTCTCCACTGTCACTGCTCATTCTTTCTCTCGTGTGTGTGCGAGTACGTGTGTCCTACTTTTGTGCACGCGTCGTCACAACAGTCCTTTGCAGTGGCAACCGCCTTTACTAAGCATGACGCATGCGCACTATGTCGCACGCTCCGTCTCACGCACCTGCCGATGCACGCGCTCACCTAGCAGCCGCTGGTGCATTTTTTGGACTTGCATGACAGTAGATATCTAACTTATTTCAAAGCGCTCACATTCGACTGTATAATTGTACCTTTATAACTAGGGAATCAATAGTCGATGAAAGCTGATTTCCACAAGAGCACTGATGTTGTGGTTATCACTACACATGTGTAAAGCTGGAGCTGCTTTCACACACTCTACAGAGATCGCGAACACATGACATTCAATGTGCCGTGGCCCGTACAGATCCTACCGGAATTACCGACTGGCTGCTGCTATTGGACAAAAGTAGGTCAGTTCCAGCCGAGGGCTGAACGCTACACAGATGATCCTAAATTCAACGCAGTGCGCAGCAGCTTCGCTGCGATTGGATGTTCCGTTCCGCACACGCAACTCTCCACCAATCACATGCATGCGTGTTCTCTTTCTGGTGACTGCTGGTTACTAACACTGGCTGTTACTGTGTAGTCAGGGAGCATTGGCCATTCCAAGAAGATGGTTTTGTGTTTGGGGACGTCCGAATGCGGGAGGGCTTAGTATAAAACAATGCATTCAGTTCAACTTTATTCCTGATTTTTATTTTCTTCTTCTTCTGTCTGTCTCTCTGCCTGTGTAGAGAGTTCCAGATCACTAGGTTTGGAACAGTTTTGTTATTGTTAACTAAAACTAAAAGCATGGTTGTTGATTGAAATAAAACTAGATAGATATTATTATATTAATATTACTAAATGCAATATTAATATAAAACAAATAGAAATGTTGCCATGATAAACAAATAAGTTTCAGTCAAAGCACTAAAATTACTAAATGGAAATAAATCAAATCTAAAATGAACTAAAACAAAATATATAAATGCAAATAATTGGACCTAATTAGTAATAATAATAATAAAGTCCATACCAAAATTGCTAAACATTAAAAATGAAAATATATAAATAAAAGCTAATTAAAATATTACTATAAGTATAAACTATAATTACATAAAAATAATACTAAAATAGCAATGTTGTAATGTTTAGTGTTTCAATATTCAATATTAACTGAATCCATTTTGAGGTAGTAATTATGCATCAAGAATAAATAGAATAGTTAATGACATTAAATCATTCTATTATGTTCATGTGTACTTCCTCTCACATTTTTTTTACTGATATTAAAAACAGCCCAGGGTAAATACATTGCAGTGGTTACAATGTAATAATCTTGAAACGCAAAAAGAATGAAATCGAGAACGTGCAACACTGTATCAAGCCATGATGAAAGAACACGCCCCCGCGCTCTCATTGGTCGGGGCTCTATTAAACAGTTTGGCTTGTCCATTGACGTCACGGACGTCAGTCTTCGCACATGGAATTGCGAATCGATTGCGCTTTTGCGCTCCAGCCTGCGGAGATCACGGACGCGCGAGAACAGAACAGCCGCCGCTCTTCAGTTTTGCGCACGGGCTGAGGACTGCATTCCGACACCCCACTGCAGAGCTTTTATTTGAATAAGTTGGCTTTTTACATTTCGTTTCTTCATTTAGACTGATCTCTCCTTTACGCGATGGAGAAGATGTCTCGACCTCTTTCTATAAACCCAACTTTCCTACCTCCGACCCACGGCGTCCTGAAATCCCTGCTGGAGAACCCCATGAAGCTGCCCTTCCACCACGATGAAGGTAAAGGTGGGTGGGTGTTGCTTTGGAAAGTTTAAATGGTCTTCTGCGTCAGCTGTTGGGTGTCAGGCGCGATGCGCGCTTTGCTTTCATTAGAATCTGCGCGTAAAGGCGCGTCACATCACGGTGTTTTTCAGCACCTGCTCATGCCTGCATGCTGTCATGTATAATTGTTTTGAATTCTGATGTGATTTAAGATGGAAATGTATGTTTATTTTCATATTTATGTTGATATTTGCATTTTACGCGCAAACATAAATCCATTTCGCATGTGATTCAGCCGGAATGCATGATGTTACCAGCTTAAAATACGCTTGTTTTGCTGTTTATTAAGCATTTGCTCACAAAGAGAAAGAATAAGCAGAGTCTACTCAACCGATACTGACTTTATTTGGATAGATGAAGTTCGCACGCAATGGAGATGATTTGTACTTATAGTTCCCTATAGAGGGCGCCATTGAGAGGCTCTGATTGTTTTGTGCTACGGTACCTCAATCCTCATCACATGTTTATAGTATAAATAAAAGGCTGTTTTATCTTTGGATGCACATAAGCAGGTCGTGCATTGGCAAGCTATAACATATGCATGCTGTTTTTTTCAGTGTGCGAAATAAATATGTTGTTTTGGTTGCATTTTTGAATCGGTTCACCTGGTTTCTTCACTCTCATGGCATTCTTTCTAAAACTGTACTTTCTTTCTTCTTTGGAGAAGTGCTGAGAAATAGCCATTCTTTTCCAGGGCTGAGCACCAAAATCACAAGAAGCACCATAAAAGTAACAGCTGGTAAAAAGCCTGCGCTGTCGTATGACTTCAGAAGACCTTGAATAGAGTGCAATAATGTGTTATGAGCCACTTTTAAGATGCGTTGGAACAGTGCGTGTTGTGAAAAGCTGCGTAAAACTATTGAAATGGAATCAAATTTGGATACTTCTGTGGTGCTTGTTTATGGAACTTGAGCTGCAACTTTTGTTATATGAAAAATAAGTGCCTGAATAAAGCTCAATTCCCTCTTTAGTGTTTAACAGAAAAAAATTAAAGTCAAACCGTTTTGGGGAAAAAAATAAATGAATAAAATATTTTGCATGAAAAATATTGTGTGTGTATCTGGCTGTGTTTCTCGCAGCAGAAGTACAGTATGTTCTCAGTATGTTTGTTATTAAAATCTGCATAAATGAAATGTTGGGTTGGGGCAACACAAATGTGTAATAAATAATAAAGATAATATTTTACATAAAAAGCATATTTTATTAAGATTTTATTTTATTGTTAAATTGAGAAAATTAAGCCCATTTTTTTTTACCCCCAAATTCTCATTATTCGCATTACAGTGTAACATTACTTTAATGAAGTAATTTATTTATTCAAATCAGCATAAATTAAATCAAGTTTTGGAACAACACAAATGTGTAATATATAACAACATTTTGCATTAAGAAAATAAAGAAATATTTTCATTAGGGTGTTTGCATTGCAAAATTATGACAATTAAGCACATTTTAACCCAAAAGTCTTATTACTTTATTACAGTAAAAAAAAAAAAAAACATGTTTGTGTTGTGTTGCATGCCGATTTTAAAGAAAACATTACAGTATTCAAGTCATTTTTCACTCTCATTTCACTAGAAATGCGCTTAATTGACATATTAAAAATATTCCTTATTCTCTTTATGCAAAATATTATTTATTACACCTTTGTGTTGTCCCAAACCTGCATTTATGCTGGTATGTGCAGAACAGGAAAAAAAAATATATATATATATATATATATATATATATTTTTTTTTTTTTTCCCTGTTCTGCACATACCAGCATAAATGCAGGTTTGGGACAACACAAAGGTGTAATAAATAATATTTTGCATAAAGAGAATAAGGAATATTTTTAATATGTCAATTAAGCGCATTTCTAGTGAAATGAGAGTGAAAAATGACTTGAATACTGTAATGTTTTCTTTAAAATCGGCATGCAACACAACACAAACATGCATAAACGATGACAAAATTGTAATTTTTGTAGCTGGACAGTGACAATAACGCCTCCATCTTGTTCCTCCAGGGTTTGGGAAAGAGAAAGAGAAGGAGAAGAATTTGGAAGAGGATGGAACTGCTCTCAACACTCCTCAGTCCGCCTTCTTGGGCCCGACGCTGTGGGACAAGACCCTGTCATACGACGGCGACAACTTCCAGCTGGAGTACATGGATTTAGAGGAGTTTCTGTTGGAGAACAATATTCCCGCCAACCCTGGGAGCGAGCAGAGCCAGCCTTCCCAGCAGCCCCTGCAGCAGCAGCCCCCCTCCGCCCCGCCCACGCCTTCGGTGGTGGATCTCAGTAACCGGACGGCCGCGTCCGTTCACTCCGGCATCGTGAGCCAGAACTGCCTCCAGAGTCCCAGCAGAGCAGGTACCGACCCGAGCCTAGAAATGACACCGAAAGCATCCGATCTGTTTCTGTTCACCTACGCTCTTAAAAACAGCGGGTTTTCCATAGAAGATCCATTTTGGGTTCCAAAAAGAACCTTTGAGTGAACAGTTCTAAAAAAGAACTGTTTTTAGAACATATTTAGAATCTACAGAACCCTCTGTGGAATGAAAAGGTTCTTCATGGAACCATCGGTGCAAATAAAGAACCTTTTTAAGAGTATGCTGAGTTTATCATCTTCTGCGTGTCACTTTGGTTAATCATCAATGCTGTAGAGTTTTAAAGATTCGCCGGTGTAATAACCCAAAACTGAAGCGTTCGTGGGATTCCTTGGACTTCGCTCAGCGGCGGCTGCTGTGTGTGTTTGGTTGAAGTCCATGTGGTCAGGTGTTTGCGGATCATGTTGCGCTCGCATCTTTATCTCTGCCACCTTTCAGATCAATTTAAGCCTGTTTTTCTTTAGAGGCTGCAGAGGAAAACAGGAAGAATGTGCATCTGAATTCATTTGACACTGCAGATTTTGTAAGAAAAGCCATAGATGATTTGCACATGGTACAGTTCATACTGATGCATTACACAGTGATAGGCGTAAAAAATACCAGTTTTTAAAATCGTGAAATAAAAAAGGCTTAGTGATGTTTTTTGCTACACTAGTGCAACATATTTGCTGCATTGTTTCGAAGAACTTAGAAAATATATAGTGTATTTTACTGTCAATATTTTGTATATTCTTAATACTACATGTAAATATTTTGAATACAAATAATTGCTATTTTTAAAATACAAAAAAATATTTTAATTAAGTGTTATTTTATATTATAATAATATACATTTTATGTTGTAAATGTATATAAAAAACAAATATTACAAAAAATGAAATTAAATGTAAATATTTTACATTGAAATATTTTTATTTTAAAATATAGAAGTACATATTTTTAATATACGCTTAATAATATATGTATTTATTTTGATCAATATTTTGTAATTATTAGGTATGACTTTAAAAAATTATATTTAAAACATAATTATGTATTTTTTGTAATGCACAATTAAATGTATAATAATGTACAATGCATAATACTTGTAGATATTATTTAACAGTAGTATTTAATAGTATATGTATTTAGTATCAAATCCATTTAATATATATTATGATGTATTGTATACATTTATTCTGTATAAATGACATAAATGCATTATATTACATGCATTATAATGCTTATATTGGGACATTGTATTATGATTGAGACACTTTTTCAACAAAAACCATAGACAGTTTGCACATAACACTGATTCATTGGTGCATTACACAGTTGCAGGTGTTCAATTATTATTAATATTTTATTGATTTTTTTAATCATGAAACAAACAAATAGTGATGGTGTTTGCTGCACTAGTGCAGTATGTATCACAGCACATGCTTGATGTGCGTTTTGTTACTCAGACTATGAATGCATCTGCCCAAACGTAACCGAGGAGCCGTCAGAGTCACCCGTCACATTGATCATACATGCCTTCATGAACCAGTGACTTTCAAACATACTTTGACAGCCATTAAACCTGTCATGTGAAATTAGACAAATTTCCAACGGCATGCGTTACGCCTTTAATTTGCGTAAATGCAGTTAGTGCATTAAATCATGTAATGCTTTATGGCTAATGTAGGCGGAATGAGTTTGACATTCATCCTGATAACACACCAAACTACAGCAGATAGTTTATGGATGTTAGTAATGCAGGTATTTAAACACGCGTGCATGAGCAATGACAAACAAACACACCCAACACACTCCTACATACATGCATGGAGATTATGTGTGTAAAGGCCCGTTCACACCAAGGACGATAACTATAAAGATAACGATAAAGATATTGTTATAAAAATCGTTCTCAATATTAAAAAATAGCAGAGTCCACACCACAACTATAACGATAAAGACAAAGAGAAACTATATCGTTGGAATCACTTTCAAAACGATTTTTCTCCAGCTGATGAACGATAAAAAATTGAGAGCCAATCAGAATCCATCCTGCTGTAACGAGCTCGAGAATTTAAAGCGGCAGAGGCTCGTGCGCTTAGAATAATCAGACGATATCGTTCGCTGGTGTGGACGCTAATATCGTTGTCTTTATAGTTATCGTTCTTGGTGTGAACGGGGCTTAAATCTCACAAAACACGGCCCATTTAATCCCCAAAATCAAAATGAGTAAAAAAGAATAGTATTTTGCATAAAGAAAATCAAGCATATGTTCATGACCATTACGATTTATTTTGTATTGCAACATTAATAATTAAGCACATTTTCTTAAACTTACTTTTAAACAGTATTAATAAATAAATAAATATGCACACAAGCATAAATTAGCATAAATTAAAAGCACAGTAAATGCTACCAACACTGTAAAAAAAAAACTGTGACATTTACGGTAAAATACCGGCAACTGTGGTTGCCAGAACTTCACCGTTAAAAATATGGTAGAAACATTTGAGGTTTTACAGACTTAGCTTAAATTCACATTAAAAAAACGTATTTCATTAACTGATGTAATGTTAATAAACCGGCATATTGAAGTACTAATATCTGTTTTGAACCACTGAAATGCTGATAACCACCAAAAACAGGTGGTGATGAGAAAGTCATACGATGAATCAAAGCTCATCACAATCAGCTCTTCCAAAAACTGAGAAGGAAAATACTAATATATCATTCACACAAACACTAAACACCATCATGGTGACACACACAATACTGAAATAATGCAATAAACATTCATTTAACAACATTAGATTTAAGATGGAACACTAAACTGATAAGAAAAAACTAAGAAGAAACATGTTATTTCAACAAAAAAAACATCAAATATGAAGTGTCATGCAGGGAATTCTGGGAGTGTCAATTTACAGTTTGTCACTGTAAATTATACAATGACTTTTTCTTTTTCACTTCCAAAAACCGTATTTTTAACAGTATTTTACTGTAAAATTACATTAAATATAATTACAGTTATTCACCGTATATAGTATGGAAACTTACTGTTAACAGGTTTTTACTGTAGCCTTTTTACAGTCTTTTACTGTTAACATCACAATCATTTTTTACAGTGAAGGTATGTAACTAATATACAATTACAATAATTTATTATTATTTATTTATGTATTTGTTGTTGCAATATGTAGAATCCTTACAGTCTGTTTTTTTAATCTACAAATGTATATAATTAATTATCACTAATTTATATTATATCATTTGTCATAATATAATATAAAAGTGAAATATAGCCTGTTTCGACAGGTTTCAGGAGATTAATTTATTCATATATGTAGGAATATATTTCTATAACATTTTATTGACATTTTTGATGTTAAGAGAGAAGTTGACAGTTTAATATATTTAAGTGTAAGGATTGATCAAATCTGGACTTTATAGCCACTTCAAGTGATGAAACTTGTTTTATTTCAATTTAAAATTTATTAAAATTTAAATATATATATATATTTATGTATTTAAATGTAGTTATTTAATATATATGACATGCTGAATAAAATCATTCTGAAAAATGAATTGTTCTTCCACCATAAAAATAAAGTTAAATTATACGCATAAATTAAATCATATTTTGTAAATGTCATTTCAAACTATTATTTTTAACGTCACCCATGTTTTTCATAGCGTTCCATATCATGTGTGTAAATATCAATGACATTTATTTCTCCTTATTTAGATTTGCTGAAATATTGAAGCAGGCATGTTTTGACAGGATATTCATCCTCTGATGTTTTGGACACGGTGCATCTGAAAGCATTTGGGAATATTTATCTGCCAGGATTTACAACAACCTGCAGACTTTATAGCCACTTCAAGGGAATACAAGTGTCGAGTGTGTACAGTAACATTAGACGGCTCTCTGTAATTCTCGGTTTGTAGGTGATCAACACATGCCTCTGCGTGTGCCGCGCTGCTGAGAGAGAGAGAGAGAATGACACGCCCCTCCCATTCCTTTCCAGCATTCTGATTAGGCTCCGCCCCTCGCTCGCTGACACGCCCCTGCCCCTCCCACCTATGTGTGTGTATCTGGCTCTATGATCTGGCTGTGTTTCTCGCAGCAGAAGTACAGTATGTTCTCAATGAGACTCACATTGCCTGCGTCGTGCCGACTCACGTGCGACCGCTGGCGCAGAAAACACACACTCTTCTACAGGGAAATAGAGAGATAGGCACAGATAAAAGTGTTATCACAACAGAGCTTGTGTTTTGGGATGTAGGCTGCAGAGTCACCGTACTGCTGTTTTGCAGAGTTTAATTTTAGAAACGGGCTTAAGTTGCATCTATATTAAATTGACAAGAGAATTTACTAAGTTGCAATTCACAGAAATTCAACACAAATAATTGCACAGTTCATTTAGTCTAATTATTCTTTATTATGTATAGTATAAATTTGGCAAATGAAGAGCCATCCAAAAAATGGAATACTTTTTTTTTTATACTTGATTTTTTTTTTTCATAGAATTTAAGAATATTTTGTGCAATATTAGTATTAATTTAATAATATTAATTTCATATTAAATATATTTTATATTCAAAGTTTAACAAAAAAGTACTTATATTTAAATATATTAGAATATATTATTAAATAATATATGTATTTAATATTTATTAAAAAATATATTGACAATACTTATATTTAAATATAGTAGAATATATTATTAAATAATATATGTATTTAATATTTATTAAAATATATTGACATATTAATAATTTAATACATTAGTTAATAAATACTCTTCTACAGGGAAATAGAGAGATAGGCACAGATAAAAGTGTTATCACAACAGAGCTTGTGTTTTGGGATGTAGGCTGCAGAGTCACCGTACTGCTGTTTTGCAGAGTTTAATTTTAGAAACGGGCTTAAGTTGCATCTATATTAAATTGACAAGAGAATTTACTAAGTTGCAATTCACAGAAATTCAACACAAATAA